CATTTTGTTAGAAGCTATACAACTTCAAAGATGAAAGTGACTGTGTCTACTTAGGAAAACTATAGTTTTGTAATAAATGGGAATTCCGCACTTGTTATGTCTTTGATGGAATTAGGAATGCCTATAGCAGGGGGCTATGGAGTGATTTTACCACATTTCAGCTATTTTTGCAACAAGAACATTGTACGAACATGAGCGACACTTTCATCGCTTTCACTGGTCATTGAAAATTATAATTTTTCAGTGTCAACAAAGGTAAATATAGAAAAATTAAGCTCATAGCCCCCTTCCTCATAAAATTTCACATAAGAAGAACTCTATTAAAGGCATATTTGCCACTTGATATCAAAACGATAGTCTTCCTAAGATCAATATTTGGCAGAAAAACAAAATATGAGAAAACTCGATTCAAAGTTTTCAAAGTACCCCAGTTTATTTCTAGGGCCTAAAATTTCAAAAGCCCCCAGCAGCATATGTTGGACCTTCCTGGTCCAACATATCCGCTGTTCAGCAGAAAGAGCATCAAGCTTCCGCTTCTTCTTGGCCACTTTTGAGGACTGAAGTGCTTGTGCTTGTGCGCGGGACAGGCACGAGTTCCTCGCTTGCTCCGTGTGCTTGGTAGCGTACGAGCCACAAGCAATATTCAGCTTCTGAAGCACTCTTCCCACGCCCTGTGGACCATGATTAAAGTTCAGAACAGCAAGGGCTGCCGCTGTCTCCACAGTCTTCAAAGATGCGAACTCAGTTTTGGCGCACCTCTTCCACACCAGCGCGTTGAAAGACTCATTGGTGTTTTGTGTCTTCATTCTTGAGCACCTTGCGAGCAAGTCCGCATTTGCCAGCCTGTTGTAGACAGGCACAAGCTCAGCGGCAATAGCCTTGGAGAAGGCTGGGCGGTGCGCCTGCGGTTTTGTTGCTTTCCCCGCATCTAACAGGGCCTGGTGCCTGTTGTAGTGGCACCAGGAGTCCTCACCACGAGGGCAGGCGTTGTGCCGAGGCTCTGCATCCGTTGAGTACGAGTGGAGAAGGCTTGCAAAGATTCCCTTTTGCATCTTTTTAACGTCGGGAGCGTTGTCTTTGAGCGCAGCAGCATAATAAGCTGTTAACTTTTTGGTTACAACTTTTGTAACCTTGCCTTTGCCTCCCAGGCCTTTCTTCACTTTTTTTAGGTTTTCAATTCCAGAAAACATTCGCTTTGCCACATGATTTATGCAGTCTTCTTTTACTATCTCCTTGTCATACAGCTGGAGCTTGGAGACATGCATGAATGACTTGCTGTCACCATCACAAAGTACTGTAGTGTACTGCAGGTTATAGAGCTCTTTTGATCTGCTGAAGATAGCAGCAGCAGCAGCAACTTCCATAGCGTTCGACGAGCCATTAAAATTCTTTTGGCAGACGTCCTTGTGTCCCTCCAACCACTGCACATGCTCTGTTTCGCCTTCTTTCGGGCCTAAGTTGCAGCCATGGCAATAATTGCTGTGCACTGAAAAGTCGAGCACGAGGCCCGACTCCAGATCAATCGCGGCTTTAAGTCCGAAATGAGATGTGTGGCCTCGTTTGTGCCAGGTGCCGTCGTAACTCACGGACGTGCCTGCCAGGTCACTGCTGTTTCGGACTCCGTTTTTGTTCCTTATCGTCTCGGCGGCCTCTTTCATGGACTCGCGCGCAGCATCCATAGCGGCGACATGCAGCTTGTCCGCGATACACTGATATGTCTTCAGATGCATCGGTGCCGGGGAATCCATGGCCCCGAAAAAGTTCGTTAACTTTGTGAAATTGATGCCGCAGTTCCTGCTTGCAACGGCGAGACGAACAGGCAACTCCGGCTGCCGGGTTGACGCGACGACCGGCGAATGCCCGGCCTTGACGATATCGCCGCACACACTGCATGAGACTGCAAAGTGAAGACTGGCGCCGGTACCAGTTTCCCTGAGCGCAAGCGACTGTCCTTTGCACGTAGGGCACGAAAGAGCGGCTATCAAAGTATGTAGGGTTGTCATTTTGATGAAGCGGTATCCGCTCGGCGTCGTTTGCCGTTCCTCGCCGGCGTCGTTCGACACACTTGCGCATGGGTCCTCTTTGTTCAAAAGCACTGCCTTCCGTTCGAAGGCAGTAAGAGTATCATCCTCCATCGGAAGGGGTTGGGTGTCTGCCGTTGACGCCGCGTCGCACAGAGGTGAGACATCCGTTTTCGCTGGTCCGGCAGGCGAACATGGAGATGAAGGCGTCAGCCCGACTGGCCGCCCGTTACTGTGCCGGCCTCTTGGCTTAGAAAAGCGACGCCGCGTTCCGAATGACTGCAAAGTCTTCCTTTTCATTGATGGCATTTTCTGGGTAAAAAAATACACATCCGAAATGGCAGGGATATTCGAAGCGGCCGGGCAATCGGAAAGTCACAACACCGGACAAGATGGCGACGCGGAATGCGGCGAGAAAGACATGTGTGGGCCTTTCCGCCAACCGCAGCTCGAGTTTCGTTTTTCCAGCCAATGAGGCATCTCCATTTCTCAAATGTCATGTTTTCTTCTTTTGTTGCTGCACGTGCTTTGGCGCACCCTCGACAGAAGAGAGTCTGAGCATTTGAAAGAGCAAAAAATGATGTTTCCAACGAGGGTACGTGCACGGCACTAGGCCTATTCCACGCCTAACGTGCGCGCTTTGAAAATGGCGTTTGCGGGCCGTTTTTTCGCTACCGAAGCGGAGTGCGTCCACCACCGACGCTCAATAAAACATGTTTTTCTCGCGTTCTAGGGCACAGATCATTATAATATTTTGTAAATAGATTCTTTATTAACCAAGGAATCGAAAACAAACAAAATCTGAAAACCCGTTTTTTGGATAAAAATCGCCGTTTTTGCACCGTGTCCCGCCTTAATTCTTTTTTTTTTTTTCCAAACATAGTATGCAGGAGATTTGTTAAAGGAGCGGTGCAACGATATTCAATTGGAATGTTTTTCTCTCTACATGAGCTTACTGGCACACCTGGAACCCGAGGATACTCACACGGAATGCCATTGGCCAAGAAACCCCTTTGTTGCGGTGTAATTTTAAGGACAAAAACAATCATTTTCATTCAATCTCTCCTTTGCAAAATTTGATGACGTAACTCGGGGATCGCAGTACACCCAAGTGACGATATTTGAATGCGGTTCATAGATTGGACTTGAGCATTGCGTGGGCACTCGACTTGGGCTCGTGACAATTGCTAGCTCGAGAAGCATTCGGGTTGTGACCCGTGTCCAATCGCTGCAACGACGACAACAGCCGAGCCATAACAATGTCTGGAACTCGGCGCGTGTCCTGCGCTTTGCCAACCCCAGCGCGTGGCTATGATCAACACTGGCGGCACATAATCGGCTCCAGATCACGTGGCCGCTTGTTCTGGCTGCGAGTTGAGGGGGTGAACGCTGCTCGTTTTTTTTAAATTTTTTTCTGGGACTTCTATTGCGTGGGGTGAAAAACAAACGAGTGTTTCACAGGTCATTAACGTTAGGGATCCGTTTTAAGCGTCATTTGCGCAAAGTACAAACATTTTTGCATCGCTCCTTTGATGTAAACAAAATTTTTAAAAAGGGATTTCAACCTGCTAGCTAAACGCCGTCTTCACTAGGTGTCTCTTGAGTTTGGCAGACATTACCTGAGGGAATAATCATGATTGGCTAATCAACTAAAATCTGTTCATTAACTTTCAATTATTGCTTTTAGGGTCATGTTGAAACTGCAAAAATGATGGTAATTACTGTTAGAGGCCAGATTAATTAAAATAATTTAGAATATTTTATAAGCCTTTGAGATATAATTAACGGCCGCACTTCCTCCAACTCCCGTCAGACGAACCACACCTATTTAAAACCCACTCCTCCGACGCCACAACTGACGCCATCTTGTTAATTATAAATAGGTAATAGAAATCATCATTACATACATTTTATAATATATCTTTAAGAAGGAAAAATAAACAAAAAAATTTGCTAGTCTGATTTTAATGCAGTTTTACAGTACAAGGTCACGTGACAACATTTTTGTCGCGAAATCAGTTTAATTGCAACCTAATTAAAAGCAGCCTAGCAAAAGTTATGGGCTATGAAAATAGTATTAATACATATAAATACATCTTTATTGTCTGTATCACATGACATTATTGCAGGCGTGGCTGGCGTGGCGCTAGCGCATGCGTACACATGTTCCGCGCCTCTCCTAGCTACTCGGCTACTCCTTGAATTGCGCATTGCACGCTTCTCCAGCTCGAGCACTCGTCCTGTGAGAAAAACGTCTCGTAGCTGATCTTGTGCCCATAGTAGTTACACTGCCAGTGAGCAGAACATAGCACGACAGTCTACGCTCCCTTCATGAGCGTGACCGACGGTAGCGAGGGCCAAGTGTACCCACGCGCTTAGATGGGTGTTTGCAGCAGCAAAGACCTTAAACATGACCCGAATCATTGATTGTCGAACCTAACCCAGCTGCAGGAAAATTAAATGAGAGACGGCCACATGACCGTCTCTCATCACTTACGGCGTTGGAGGAGCGATTTGCACACAGCCCTACCTCGTCCGACGGTAGTCGGAGGAAGCGCTCCTATAATTAATAACACTTGCATGTTTTTTAGCCAGATTTAAAAATTGCGCGCAAAAAGCGTGCAGTGACTTTTGCTCACAATGACAATAGTCACTCTTCCAAGCGTCATTATGGTTTTCTCTAAGAGTCACTGTGGTCCCTTCACTCGAGTCTAATCCCAGTTGGGCTGCTGCCACGGGCCTCACGACATTTGAAAGTCCGTGTAACGAGGGTTTTATCAATATTGAGAATCTAGGGCCTTCAAGAGCTTCTAAAGTTTCAAGAACAATTTCCAAGGGCTTAAAAACTGCAATCCTACATTCGATAGTTCGCAAAGACTGTGCAGGAACATTGCCCCGCAGCCTCACAAAACCATTTGCTATGTGATCGAGTGATCTATCCCCAACTACATCGGGCTGCAAAAACTCAACGGTTCCCACCAGAAGTCGTTGACCAGTTCCCAGGTCTCCTGGAGTAGCAGCTGCGGCCGAGGGAACACCGGCGGGGTTGAAGACGGGGGGCTGGAAACCGCCACCACGACCTGCCGAGGCACCCCGGGCGATGCTGCAGCGGCAGAAGTCCCAGGCGGTGGGACAGGAGTCCTAGGCGGCGGGATGGCCACCCGGGGGGGAAGTGGCCGCCTCTGCAGTTCCCGTAATGCGGTGGGCACTGCTCCACTCGTGGCAGGACTGCTGCGGCACAAATATTGGGGGAGGAAAAGGGGCTAACTGTAGTATAAGTACAGTCATGTCAAAAGAAATATGAACAGAGTGGTGACCAAGCAATCTCTAGCCTGCCTCAGAGCGGCAGATGTAGGCATTATTTAAGTAAAGCGAGACTATTTTGTACTCATAGCGATAAATTTTATCTCTTCGATTCCTGCCCACTAGCACTGCTTCTAGCTGTGCTCTATACACCTTAAAAACGCTCTTAGGAAACCTGCTTAGTGCAATGCTCCACCTATGTTTTGCAGTTTTGCATTCACAGTTTTCCTTTCTCTCTTGAAAGTTTCCACTTTATTTTATTTTTGCGTTATCTTCCACCTTGAAGAAGAGCTGGAAAGTGCCTGCAATTCAATCGTTTCTGCTCAAAATTCACGGAAAACCAAGAAAGAACAGAATGTTGAACGTCCCTCAATGCGATTTTGCAAACTATGACAACTGTTCTCCCCACTTTCAGAGGAAATCCACAAGAGTCCTTCTCAGCCATCGCCAAAAATAGCTCTGTTCAGCTATTTTGCAGATCAGTCACCTCCATTCCTTTGGCTCGGTGCTGGTGTTGCGAAAAAAGGAAGCTCTCCACAAAACTTGCCTCAAAGCGAGGTCCTCTTGGATCCTGTCCGATCACCAAGATGTTGTCGTCATCACTAAAATGCCGCATTATTCGAGACCTTTCTCAAATAAATACTTTTCAGATAATGCTGTACCATGCGGTACTTACAATATATTGTTCAAATGTTGACACTCGCTAAATCTTACGTCCGAGTCCCGTCATGTACACAGGTAAACACATTATTTGTGCGTGGGAAATATGCGTGCCTTTCAGGTATCTGTTAATGTAAATCATTTTCAACGGCTAAGTGCTTTGTCAATTAACATGGCTGAACATGCGGCGCCGTCAAAACTTACCATAAAAAAAAAGACCAAAACATTTGTTGCAAAAGTTCTGTTGCGCGCATACCCAAAAAAATCAAAACCAAAATTTCCTAGTTTGTTTTTTGCTTCAAATGTGGTACCTGCTTCTCAATGTCATCAGGAAAATACGTACACCATGAAAGTCAAAAGACGGAGGGAAAAAGCAAGAATTTAGTCGCCAGCAGTGTCTGAAATTGTGCCTATGCAGGCTCCACCTACCAAAATCAACAGTCCACTCGGTTATGGTTAGCAGGGACACCGGTGAGAGACTAGCCTCACACCTAGCGAGTGTGCTCAATAAAAGTTTTCTCGTCCCTGGGGCCGAGTGTCTGTTGAATAGGTGTATACTGGCCAGCTGCGAGAATGACGTCGCTCGCTCCTCCGCAGGAACTTGTGATACCACGGCAACGGATCGTTCAACCACAGGAACTGCGTACCGCATTTACTCGCATAATGAACTCACCCCCCACAACGGGTACTAATATTTGGACTTTTTTTTTCCCTTGCATAATGAACACACTTTTAATTTTTGGCTCTGTGAGTCTCGAATTGCGTCTTAGCTAGCCACGAAGTCAATTTCTTTTTTTTGCCGTCAAGCAGTCAGATCAAGTCAAGCCAAGCCAAACCGCTCTCATAATGGCTGAATGTGCGTAGTTGCGGAAGTGATCAACCGTGAAACCGAGCAGCGTGCACACCCGACGAAGCTTGGGTCAAGGAACTGCCCAGCCCCAGATATCCTTTACCTATCGGATGCATTGATGTCAACAAACATGTGATCGTCTGTGGTTGGCTTTCGGACAGTGAAATTGTGAAAGTGGTTAGGCCTAAGAACGATCGCGTTGCTCTGCATGCTGAGCAAACTTTTTAGGGTGCTTTTTCTTCGGCAAAAGGCATGCCGAAAGCACCCCAAAAAGGTTAACGCTTACCTAAGCCTTGGGGCCCCTCTTCCCCCGTAAACCAGGCGGGATGCAAAAAGTGCCTTGCAAAAACAGCATGGCTGACTTTAACGAAACCGTTGTAAGGTCTACGAAACGAACGCCGAAAGCCTTTCGACAAACTAATTGCCACCGCACCTTGTGTTTTCTTTGGTGTTTGTCAAATGTTTGGCTACAGAGCGACATAAAGCAGAACAGGTGTCTTTGCATCCAAAAACGACGTAGGTGACGTCCTCGAGCAGAAATCGAGGGACCACCTTGACCACCTTTGAAGACACAGTAATTGTACCGGTCAGAGACCATAACTGTGGGTACATGCTCGCCGCAATTGTTTCTCATAGGACAAAACGTGTGTGTGTCAGAATGCAAGCACTGCCCACTCTTCATTTGTAGGCGACCCCGCAGAATCCGTCGCAGAACTCTTCGTCTCAGACCGAAGGGTCTGGCCCTCTGTGGTCGATTGGAAAGCTAATATGCGTCCTGGGGCCCTAATCTGGACACTTGGCAAAAAAGTTGGCGAGAAATTCTGCGGCTCTGATTGGCCGGCGCCAAGGTCAAGTGCAGCGTTGGCCAATCATGCCCAACAGATTTCTCGCAAAGTGTCCAAGATCAGCAAGAAACGACTGACTATCTCTCCTACGAATAATGCAATGACTTTACATACTTATTGTTCGTGGGACGAAAGTTCATTACAGCAATAAAACGCCCTACAGCTTAAATCCTTCAGAAAGTCAGTGTGGTGTTTATCAACATTATCCGGTCCTTTTCTTTTTTTTTGCAAGCGCATTGTAAATGTTTATTGTGAACTGCCAAACATTTAGCTTGTCACGATAGAATTAAACCGATACCGAAGCATGATAAGAAAAGACTTCTTATTTTGTGTCAGCACAGCAAACTTCCACCAGCTCGGCTGCACACCCTGCTGTTGTTAAATGTTTTCCTCCATGAATAGTTCAAAGGAAGGAACGACTACGGCAATGGCAATCAGCTTATCGAACAATGTTTCATTGAAAAATAGTTTCATCAACAGCTCAGATTATCTTTTTTCTGTAATAAGCTGCATCAAACTGTCGCCACGAAGCAGCGTGTATGGGTGGGCCAGGTGGGTTAACATTTTTGTGATGAGCCACCAAAGACTCGTTGCAAAGCGGCGTAAACGGGACAGTCGGATGGGTTTACACACAATGCAATGTCACTACACCGTGCAATTCGCATGACGTGCGTCGATGAAACATTTTTGTCGACAAAAGGAACAAAATTTCTCCGAGCCGATGTCCACCTAACCCTAATATTCACCAAGTCCCCCCAAAAAAAAATACAATGTGAAAGACTTTCAGTGAGAAAAATATTATTTGCTTTCTTTCCAGCAATTTTTTTTTTTTCTAAAAAGGAAAAAAATGTTTATTATTAGGCTGCTACCTGTATCTTTAGATACAAGTAACGTTGGTAGCGTAATCGGCGTAATGTTCCGAATCTTTCGCATTTTATCACCACCGCTAGCATCACATTCTTGCAGAGTTCCAGCTTTCCGCGATGTGTAGTTCATTTTTTCCGGGCCAAAAAACCGTTTTATTAAAATTTTGTTGCTTGTATGTACGTTAAAACAGTATTGATGCTAGTACGCCTCAATTGGTGACTTGTCTCTTAGCTGTAGACGAGAAAATCTGCCAATTCAGTACCGCTATATAACCTGGGGCCATATTGCCAAAACCGGCCAATCATTGGGCTCTATGAATTTGTTTTAAAGAGCCATTCATAAGTGTGCACTATGTAGACTTGGGACAGTGTAGTCATATACATTGCCAACAAATGGCAAGGATTGTTCTGATTGCTGTGTTTGTTTGAGCTTGTTCCTTTCTGTGTCATCTTTCACGCTCGATCGGTGCCTGTTTGGAGAAGATGGCAGCGTTCAGTGTACGGTGAGGCCTTTCTGAGAAATTATAGATTTCCTCTTCGACAGCGATCATGGCAAAACTTCTGGTGAAAATAGTGAGTTTTCGTAGCCTTCTTTTGACGACAGGAACAATTCCGACGGCAGTTCTGAGTCTGAATCACAACAAGAGTGCACTGGTTGTGCGACACCTAAGCGACCGAGGATGGAGTGCTTCAAGATCTTTCATACGAGGGGGAATCTGTGAGGGCCTAGGAGAGGTCGGCATTTTAGGTCGCCCTCCCTCACCCTCACAGCCACACTCACCTAAGCCCCTCACTTACCCTCACAGCTACACTCACCTTCAACCCCTCACTCATCCTCACAGTCACACTCACCTTCAGCCCTTCACTCACCCTCACTGAACCTCACGCACTCACGCCCCTCACTCACTCATGGCCCTCACGCCACTCACCGCCCTCATAGCCCTCACGCCACTCACCGCCCTTGCGGCCCTCACATCCCCTCACGCACTCATAACTCTCGCGCCACTCAGGCCAGCTTCAGATGGGGCAATTTCGCCCAGAAACTTTACGTCGCAACACCAGCAACACAAACCACCCGCGATCACACGCAGCAACCATTTGCTGCAATTTGCCATCATCATAAAATTTTATTTTTCTTGCACTATTTAGACACAATTCCGCATTATAAATGTGTTTCTATGCATTTAAATCCCGTTAAGAATACTAATGCACCTTTCCTGAAACAGTTTATTTAAAAAAAAAAAAACGATTGATTTCAAACCAGAACCAAGTCTTTCGGTGTCATCATCATCGGCACAAGGTATCACGTGAAAATTTTGCGTCCCTGATTGGATGCAGCCGCTTCAAACGTATTCGAATTGCTCCGAGTTGCTTGCTTATTTCGAGCCGGACCCGATCTCAGCAATTCGTGTCGATCTAGGGAAAGCTAGAGAACAACCCGCCGTTAACACCAAAATTGCTGAGAAAGATGCTCGACCTGAAGGGGGCCTCACGCACTCACCGCCCTCACGCACTCAGGGCCCTCACACACCTCATGCACTCACCGCCCTCACGCCTCTCATGTCACTGCCCTCACCACCCTCACACCACTCACGCCCCTCACGGCCATCACGGCCCTCACCGCCCTCACGGCCCTCACGGCCCTCACTCACCCTCACACTCATGAATTTTCCTGGTTCAGAAACTCACTCACCCTCACCTCACCTG